TGATGATCAAACATATGTGTTGAATTTTCATACTCTTTGTCTAGATTTCCTGAAATCATTTGATTGCTGCTGGGGGCAGAATGTTTGTTTATAAATTGAATTTGGAGGGAAGGAGGGAGGGCTTTCCATACAGAGTTGAGGCGGTACCTTTGCTTATCAAATGTAAATATGATGTTTAATTTTCTAATTACTTATGCTTTCTTCTGTATATTGGTAAATGTTGTTGATAGAATGGCAAGAACAGTTCCCCAAAAAGGAGAACAAGTGAAGACAAAAGATCTCTCTCTCTCTGTCCCAATGGTGCTTTTTCAAAAGGCAACTGAAGTTTCTTTGTTTTTGCTTGAAGATGTTTCATTTATCATCCAAGAAGCTTCTTCAGTTCTGTTTTCAAGCAAAAATAAAAAAGTCCAGTTGCCTTTTGAAAAAGCACCTCTGGGACAACCATGACTTGGATAACTGAGAATCTCCACAGACATTTCTCTCTCTCCCTCCCTCCCTCCCCCCCCTCTCTCTCTATCTTCTCCCCTCCCTCCTTCCCTCCAAATTCAATTTATAAACAAACATTCTGCCCCCAGCAGCAATCAAATGATTTCAGGAAATCTAGACAAAGAGTATGAAAATTCAACACATATGTTTGATCATCATTCTCCAACACTTTTCTACTTAAAACTGAAGATAAACTGTCCCAAATTAGATATAGACTCAGATACTGAAGCATCAAAAAAGAAGAACCAGGTGCAATCCCAGCTTTTAAAATTTATTTTAAAGCTAACTGCAGTCATTGGGCAAATCAGTTTTGGATCATCTTTTTAAGGAAATATACAGATATGATATCAGTTCAATTCTCACAGGCTCAAGACTCAGCCTTCCATTCTTCTGAGGTTGGTAAAATGAGGACCCAGATTGTTGGGGGCAATATGCTGACTCTGTAAACCATTTAGAGATTACTGTAAAGCACTGTAAAGCGGTATATAAGTCTAAGTGCTATCGCTATTTACCTTTTCCTGATAAAGTGTATGAAGCCACTTTGCTGCTTCTTTTTCATCCAAAGGGATATCTTCTAAAGGAAACCTCCTAGGTTATAGAAAAAAGATTCAATAAGGATTTTTTATTAGAGTGACAATAATTACAATATGAAAATATCTTCGCAATTAAAAGATGTTAATATTGTTCTCTCCTTACCAGACCTCTATATCCTATAAAATGCATTTTATGAATATACCCTTGCATTGTAATTAGGTAGAACATGTGACATATGAAAAATGTAGCAGTAATTCAATAGAGCCATCGCTTAGATTGCACTTGAGTATATATTAACTTTTTTCTTTTTGAGTATCTTCAAAATAAAAAATGTTTTTGCAGATGGGCAAAAATGCCATTCTTACACTCTTTAGCAATAACTGTAAAATCTGAAACAATGGCTTAACCTCAGAAATTCTCATTTCAAAAATTAAAACAAGTAAATTATATTTACTGAATTGATGGAGTAGTGTATTATATCTCCTATGCCAAGAACCTATGTCCTCTGATTTTACTGACAATTTAACGTCGAAAGATGAAATGACATGGGTACAAAACTGAGCTCTAAGCAGCGTTGAAATCTTGACTTTACCATGAATTCTTGCACAAGAGAAGCAGCAAATAAGAACAATTTGCATAACAAAGAACCTGAACAATGAAATAATCTGGGATACCACCCTCCCAAACCTGTTTAGATGAACTTTCAATCATTGCATGTGGTCCTGTGCTTGAAATGCTCCTGGCAAGAGTGGCCCTATGGAATGAAACTGAGTTACCATTTTGCTAAATTTTCTGCACAGCCTATGTAAGATTTTATGTATCAAATTAACCTTACAAAAATTTACTTAGGCTGCAACCCTATGCATACTTACCTGGGACTAAAACCCTCTGAACAGAATGGAACTTACTACTGGGTAAACATATATAGGATTGCTCTGTTAAATCATAGTTATGTAGAAGGTTGCTGAAAGGTTGTACAAGTCTGAGCATGGCCATCAATTGAATATTTTGCTTGTAGAATATCCACACTGAACCTAAATGGCTACAAAAGTGGCATACATTTGTAATCTTCAGTATGATATATGGCTACACTATTAGTTTTCCCTTGCTGGACAATACTGATCCTACTCCTACTCTCTAAATAGAGCTATTTAGAGCTCTCTAAATTATCTCTCAGTGCACTGTGTGGTCACATCCTGCAATAAATTTGCCACTAGATGGAGCCGATAGCAAAGTTCATATAAGGAACATTTTTCTTATCTGAAGCCAATTCTGAACATGGAAAAAAGCATTTGCCTCATACGGAAATGTGAAATGTGTTTTCTGTAAAATGTATTACATTGATTTAAATTTCCCTAATCTATGGCAGCACAGGCAACATCTGCTAGATGTTCATCTCATTCAAATGAATTCAAAGACTTAACTAAGCTCCTTATTGCTTTCTTAAAAATGGAAAGAAAGAAAAAATGGGGGCTGAATATGGTTGCAAAGGAGTATATTCTACAGATTGGGAACAACACCGGAGAAGGCCTCTTCCATTTTTCCAAGATGTTTATTTTATATGACATACTTTTAAAGTTTTGAAAGTTGTATATCTAGGGACCATAAGGAGTTTTCATATTAAACCTGAAGTCAAGTGAAATAACAGAGAGAAAATTACCACATTTTAAAGATCCACATATTTGCTTCTATCCACTAATATTAATAGCAAAACAAGTCTGTTCCAAACTAAGTCTGAAAAGCTAAAGATGGGAAAGTAGAGGGTTGGGTGGTCATTTTATTGCAATAATTGGACACAGTGACAGCTCTTAGCTGCAAAGCATGCTCACGCACTCACCTGACACACATATCTGCTTCATATTTCTTTCCATAAAGAATTCCTAATAAGGATGGATTTTTGTTTCCTCGGAAGTTTAATGTTACATCATACACTGCTGAAACTAACACAAGAAAGATAACATTATTGTTTCAATATTCAAATAGCTGGAATTCAACAGTTATTACTTATATTAAAAGGCACACAAATATATATTAGGACTATTACATCTATATTTCAGAATAATGGCTGCTAGTGGCAGCAAAGAATTTTAGTGATCATGCAGATTTTTGCAATCCAGCTGTTATTAGCTCTAGAATTACATCCGTGGGTATACCTGAATCTGGAAGTTAAACATTTAAACCAACCGTAGTATTTAACCAGCCATATTTCCTATTTAACACCTTTTCCTATGTGTTATAACATGAACTTATATCTCACATGCGTACTGCAAGTGCAAATTATGCAATGTTTGAACACTAGCTTAGAAACGTAAAATGCTAAGAATTATTAATTTCTCTGAATTAAAAAAGAAAACTAATAGAGGTATTGAGATTTATTTATATTATCAGTTCACCATTCAAATACTAAACGTATCAATACAGACATTGCATGTTGAAAAATTTAACAACTATCACAACAATTACGCTAAGAAACGTAATATGCATATTCACAAACAGTGTAAGTGAAACCAAGGTACCTGTTCCCCTGAGACATTGGACAGCAGTCGTAAAACCTTTGGTTCTGGGCAACAAATGATGTTTGAGTTTAGGCAATCCTTTGGATTCAGCCACTTCCATACTGATACGATGCTTCGTTTCTGTAAATCGAGTTCCTTCACAGTATAATAGAAACTGTAGCACAGAAGGGGGTGGGTGGATGGAGAAATCTTGCATTACAGTACTGTTAAATTGTTTTACAGAAAGTTTTAGGGCTTGAAGACAACTAAAATAAATATGGGTTTAAATCTGGGTCCTAAGTCTTTTTCCTTGGAATAAAGATTAGAGAACAAACATAGCCTACAGCCTTTTGCTCTGAAAGCTTCTCCTTGGGGGAAAAAAAACAATTTTGCTGCAAATATCTCTGCAGATTAAAGTTTCTTAATTTTGGCAACTTTCAAGATGTGTGGACTTCCAGAATTTCCCAGCCAGAATACTGGCTAGGGAACTCTGGTAATTAAAGTCCTCATATCTTTAAATTGCTACAGTTGAGGAATACTTCTGTAGATGTTGAAGGCTTCTCAACATTCTTACCTCATCTTCAGAGCTCCCCTTATTTCTAGAAATCCACTTTCATTAAACTATCACTCCCAAACCAGCAGCAATGTAGCAGCAGTTTGTCCCAAGCATACATATTGGAATTAGAACACAAATTTGTTGTGCAGTGTTGTTTCAAAGCCAACAATATTTTATTCCTCAAAATCACTATATTATTCCTAAATTAGTGCTACCATCACTGGTCTGTTTTGCAACAGTTCAAATGAGAATTGCATGAAAGCATAGTTTTGTGCTATGGTTGTGATTTTTCCACCCCATATATGAAATAAATGTCCCTGCTCCTGTTGTTGAGTTAAGTGTTCTGAAGCAGGCTTCTGCTTGGGTTCCCTTGAAGCCAGAAGTCGTCCTGTGAATAGGGTCCTCATTTAGGCAGAGGCCCCAAATAGCACACAAAATTCTTTGTATTAAAAGACAGGACAATGCAAGCTTCAACCTCTGAAAGCCATGGAGATGGTTTGGCCAAAGATTATTACTCTTTTTAGAGTGCTCTTATTGCATCTTAAAAGTGCACTTATTGTACCAATAAGTCATAGTTTGCTTCAGTTATGACTGATATGCATATACTGTACATTACATCTGTCTGTAAATAGCAATAGCAGTTAGACTTATATACCGCTTCATAGGGCTTTCAGCCCTTTCTAAGCGGTTTACAGAGTCAGCATCTCGCCGCCGCCCCCCCCCCCCCCCCCCAGTTTGGGTCCTCATTTCACCCACCTCAGAAGGATGGAAGGCTGAGTCAACCTTGAGCCGGTGAGATTAGAACTGCTG